ACACACACACTATAGGAGGAGTGGAGAGAGGAACACACACACAGGCTATAGGAGGAGAGGAGAGAGCAACACACACACACTATAGGAGGAGTGGAGAGAGGAACACACACACTATAGGAGGAGAGGAGAGAGCAACACACACACGCTATAGGAGGAGTGGAGAGAGGAACACACACACTATAGGAGGAGAGGAGAGAGCAACACACACACTATAGGAGGAGAGGAGAGAACAACACACACACTATAGGAGGAGAGGAGAGAACAACACACACACTATAGGAGGAGAGGAGAGAACAACACACACACTATAGGAGGAGAGGAGAAAACAACACACACACTATAGGAGGAGAGGAGAGAACAACACACACACACACTATAGGAGGAGTGGAGAGAGCAACACACACACACACACTATAGGAGGAGAGGAGAGAGCAACACACACACGCTATAGGAGGAGAGGAGAGAACAACACACACACACTATAGGAGGAGTGGAGAGAGCAACACACACACGCTATAGGAGGAGTGGAGAGAACAACACACACACTATAGGAGGAGTGGAGAGAGGAACACACACACACACACTATAGGAGGAGAGAGCAACACACACGCTATAGGAGGAGAGGAGAGAGCAACACACACACGCTATAGGAGGAGTGGAGAGAGGAACACACACACACTATAGGAGGAGAGGAGAGAGCAACACACACACGCTATAGGAGGAGAGGAGAGAACAACACACACACTATAGGAGGAGTGGAGAGAGGAACACACACACACTATAGGAGGAGAGGAGAGAGCAACACACACACGCTATAGGAGGAGAGGAGAGAGCAACACACACACGCTATAGGAGGAGTGGAGAGAGGAACACACACACACTATAGGAGGAGAGGAGAGAGCAACACACACACGCTATAGGAGGAGAGGAGAGAGCAACACACACTATAGGAGGAGAGGAGAGAGCAACACACACACGCTATAGGAGGAGTGGAGAGAGGAACACACACACACACACTATAGGAGGAGAGGAGAGAACAACACACACACACGCTATAGAGAGGAACACACACACACACACACTATAGGAGGAGAGGAGAGAACAACACACACACACGCTATAGGAGGAGTGGAGAGAGGAACACACATACACACTATAGGAGGAGAGGAGAGAGCAACACACACACTAATAGGAGGAGTGGAGAGAGGAACACACACACACTATAGGAGGAGAGGAGAGAGCAACACACACACGCTATAGGAGGAGAGGAGAGAGGAACACACACACACACTATAGGAGGAGAGGAGAGAACAACACACACGCTATAGGAGGAGTGGAGAGAGGAACACACACACACACTATAGGAGGAGAGGAGAGAACAACACACACACACGCTATAGGAGGAGTGGAGAGAGGAACACACACACACACTATAGGAGGAGAGGAGAGAACAACACACACGCTATAGGAGGAGTGGAGAGAGGAACACACACACACACTATAGAAGGGGAGGAGAGAACAACAAACACACACACACTATAGGAGGAGTGGAGAGAGGAACACACACACGCTATAGGAGGAGTGGAGAGAGGAACACACACACACGCTATAGGAGGAGAGGAGAGAACAACACACACACACTATAGAAGGAGTGGAGAGAGGAACACACACACACACTATAGGAGGAGAGGAGAGAGCAACACACACACACACTATAGGAGGAGTGGAGAGAGGAACACACACACGCTATAGGAGGAGAGGAGAGAACAACACACACACACACTATAGGAGGAGAGGAGAGAGCAACACACACACACACACTATAGGAGGAGAGGAGAGAGCAACACACACACACACTATAGGAGGAGAGGAGAGAACAACACACACGCTATAGGAGGAGAGGAGAGAACAACACACACACACTATAGGAGGAGAGGAGAGAACAACACACACACACACTATAGGAGGAGAGGAGAGAACAACACACACACACACTATAGGAGGAGAGGAGAGAGCAACACACACACACACTATAGGAGGAGAGGAGAGAACAACACACACACACACACACTATAGGAGGAGAGGAGAGAGCAACACACACACACACTATAGGAGGAGAGGAGAGAGCAACACACACACACACACTATAGGAGGAGAGGAGAGAACAACACACACACGCTATAGGAGGAGAGGAGAGAACAACACACACACACTATAGGAGGAGAGGAGAGAACAACACACACACACTATAGGAGGAGAGGAGAGAGCAACACACACACACACTATAGGAGGAGAGGAGAGAACAACACACACACACACACACTATAGGAGGAGAGGAGAGAGCAACACACACACACACTATAGGAGGAGAGGAGAGAGCAACACACACACACACACTATAGGAGGAGAGGAGAGAACAACACACACACGCTATAGGAGGAGAGGAGAGAACAACACACACACACTATAGGAGGAGAGGAGAGAACAACACACACACACACACTATAGGAGGAGTGGAGAGAGGAACACACACACGCTATAGGAGGAGAGGAGAGAGCAACACACACACACGCTATAGGAGGAGTGGAGAGAGTAACACACACATGCTATAGGAGGAGAGGAGAGAGCAACACACACACACACTATAGGAGGAGAGGAGAGAGCAACACACACACACACACTATAGGAGGAGAGGAGAGAGCAACACACACACGCTATAGGAGGAGTGGAGAGAGTAACACACACATGCTATAGGAGGAGAGGAGAGAGTAACACACACACACACACACTATAGGAGGAGAGAGAGTGATCCAGCCTATTCAGTTTGTGACGTACCATCATAAGTTCTAAAATACAGAACTAAATCACTATAAAGAGGAAGGGTGCCATACGAGTTTCTGCAGTGATTATATTTAAGTGCCAAACAAGTAACAACATACATATTCACCCTCCACAACAGCACATACCAGATATACATATCAGTTCAATAGATTGTGTGATAGAAAAACCAACGTTGTTTGTCATAAGCCTCCAATGTGTTAATGTGTCCAGCGTTCTTAAACTCAACGACGGCACGATAATTTCAGTCAATAAACATCCACGGGAAGTCCCACAGGTTTAACAGTTCAAAGACGTCAGTCTCAGTCGTTATAATCCATTGATAATTCCCACGCACATTACGCGGTCGAACTTCTCACAAAACAGTCCAATAGAGAAACTCGCTTCAAGACTTATTTAGCATGTGGTCAATTAGAACATACGGCTTAAATGATACATAAGGCCAGCACAGCGCCCCCTGCTGGCCTCACTCACACCTCCTCCCATCAAGACACTGACCAGCCTCGGGCTACAGGAGGATATCACTGCCCATAACCCTAACCCTCGGGCTACAGGGGGATATCACTGCTCATAACCCTAACCCTCGGGCTACAGGGGGATATCACTGCTCATAACCCTAACCCTCGGGCTACAGGAGGATATCACTGCTCATAACCCTAACCCTCGGGCTACAGGGGGATATCACTGCCCATAACCCTAACCCTCAGGCTACAGGGGGATATCACTGCCCATAACCCTAACCCTCGGGCTACAGGGGGATATCACTGCCCATAACCCTAACCCTCGGGCTACAGGGGGATATCACTGCTCATAACCCTAACCCTCGGGCTACAGGGGGATATCACTGCCCATAACCCTAACCCTCGGGCTACAGGGGGATATCACTGCCCATAACCCTAACCCTCGGGCTACAGGGGGATATCACTGCTTATAACCCTAACCCTCGGGCTACAGGGGGATATCACTGCTCATAACCCTAACCCTCGGGCTACAGGGGGATATCACTGCCCATAACCCTAACCCTCGGGCTACAGGGGGATATCACTGCCCATAACCCTAACCCTCGGGCTACAGGGGGATATCACTGCCCATAACCCTAACCCTCGGGCTACAGGGGGATATCACTGCCCATAACCCTAACCCTCGGGCTACAGGGGGATATCACTGCCCATAACCCTAACCCTCGGGCTACAGGGGGATATCACTGCCCATAACCCTAACCCTCGGGCTACAGGAGGATATCACTGCTCATAACCCTAACCCTCGTCTTCATCTTTACACGGAGATGATGACAGGATCGCTTTTTTAAAAACCTGCACTTTGAAACTTACTTCAAAGTTTGCGTTCTCAGGCCACCAAAACGCTGTTGTCGTGTAAATGAACGGCAGAACGCATGAAAAGTTTTCGGTTAGAGCGGTGTCGTGTTAGCGGCCTCTAAGTTAATATCTAATGATTTTTACAACGTAAATTAATCCATCAAAAATGTACTTAAACTAGACAATGATTTTCTTCTAGAGCTGCTGTAAAGCCAAATCTCTGTTCCATTAATCTCCTGTTATCACTGTAAAGCTGCTTTAAAACAATCTGTATTGTAAAAAGCGCTATGTAAATAAAGGTGACTTGACTTGATGTGCAACTACCGGTCGATGTCTTGCTCTGGAGGCGGGCATATGCAAATGTATTTGCTCATGTGACGTCACAGGTCAAAATGAGCTGTTTTTGGAGCTTGATTACAAAATGCTTTGTTTAAAGCTCTGAAACTTGCTGGATGATTTAATAGTACAAAACATCTTATATGTCAAAAGATCAAGGTAAATTTGATTTCTCATGTCATGACCACTTTTATAAAATAAGAAATGGCCAGTTCAAACAGAATACTTTTTTGAAATCTACTACACTGCTTTTCCATTGTGTTTCTGTGCAAACATTCGCTGGACGGACATCTTTTGCAGTGTCTCACACATGAGTGTCAATTTCAACTTTGTTTCATTCATCTCGCTGTTTTAAATGCAAAACGTCAGTCCGTGGACGTCCAGTCAGTTAAATGATTGTCTTTTTTGTGTGTTGATCCTTTGGTTTGGCATGAGTGTGTCGTTGTCCTGAGGCTGACCGGTTTAGTTGGAAGTGTAGAGCGTTTTAACAGCGTGTTTTACGTGTTTCAGTGTGATCCTGCCTTGCTGCCAGAACCCAACCATGTGATGCTGAATCATCTGTACGCGCTCTCGATAAAGGTACATTATAACCCTGCTATCAAACATACTTCCATATAATGGTCAATAATTGACTGATTTTTTCTGTCTCAGGATGGTGTGATGGTTCTCAGTGCAACTCACCGTTATAAGAAGAAATATGTGACGTCTCTTCTGTACAAGCCTATTTAATGAGCTCTGGATGCACACCATCTACAGTCTGAGATTGCACTATTAACCCGCGATACGTACAGCGGACCTGTCAGCTTGAGACTTCAACAGTGTGTGTGTGTGTGTGTGTGTGTGTGTGTGCGCACGTCTTTTATCTGCCGTCATCACAGGGACATCTGAGCTTAGGTGCAGCGTTTTGCGATTGCAATCCAGATTATTTTCTGTCCAAAGCGCTTTATGAAATTCTGCAAAACACACAGGGAGTTTATAATCAAAAGCGAGTTCAAGTTTTGAGTTTTAGCACAGATGAACTTTGAATGCAGTGTTTCATTCTAAGCTTTTATAGTCATAATTCATTTTATAAAGCGAGTGAAAGACTTGCTTATGTGTCGTTTCCAGAACGAAAGGACGTTTCAGCCACAGCGGCGTTGAGTTTTTGCTCGCTTCGGCGCCACTGATGGATGTGCTTTGAGCAGAGTTACTATGTTAGGATTTCAACGATAGAAAACTTTAGGAGTGGACTGAACAGGTTAAAAACATTTACAGCGGCATCACAGAATGTCACAAACAGATTTGAACTGTGAGTTTGTGGACTTTTACTTTCACCTTGATGCTGTACAGACGAGCACTTTATCTGTGCTTCACTGTGACAGACAAACAAGCTTTCTCTCTTTTATCGAGCAGGAATGTATTTTTGCATCTGTTAAATGTTATTTATGTGATACACAGACGCTATATTGGCCCCAGTATCAGCTTCAGTGGTTCAGCGAATCTGTGCTCGGGTCATTGTTGTGCTGGAAGAGAAAACAAAGTTTTACGTGTAACTTTAAGATTCGTTTTTGATAGAATTGACCCACGTTAATTAAGAATTGGGCGTCTACATGCGATTGGCCATATAATGTACATGTTTGTCTTTAAATAGTTGGTGTTATTATTTCTGGCCATCATCAATATTAAATGTTGAAACAGAAATGTGATTTGTGATCTTATCAGGACCCAACCCTAATTATTTTATTTTATGTTGATGAGGAAGGTGTAGTTTGTTCATAAGGATAGTGTGGTGTTTCCATTCACTCCAAAGATAATAACGTAATATGGTGTAAGTGTGATATCCCAAAGGAAAGATGCTCAAAATATGATTTTCATGAGGAAACGGCAACATCACAGCTTTAAATGCTTTTACAGGATATTGTTTCGAGGGGAAATCCACTAACTTGAACTTTTTTCTTTTATCATATGTACTGATAAATCATGTGTTGATAAACTATGCATTATAGATGATGGGTGTGTTGCCGTCAAAAATAATAAAGGAAACCATTCTGGTTGATTTGATCCAGTTTCTTTGCTTTCATTTAAAAAACAAGCAAAATGAATGCATTTCTATCGTTTATTCATGATTAAATTGCAAAAGCAGCTTTCATAATTCATGGCACATATTCAGCAGCTTCAGACACAGAGTTTAATTGGCTCTTGCGCCGGCAATCTTTTGTTACATTACACAATCAGTAACTATGGCAACAAATGAGCCTTCGAGCACTATATATACAAATTATACAGATTTTAGAACCAACATATTGTATATATGCTGCTTATTTTTCTCTCCACCTGAATTCAAATCTCTTTTTTTCCCTTCCCCTTTGGTAGTTAATCCAAAACGTTGAAAGTATCACATCAATACTTTTCATTTGTGGTTCTGAATAAAGTGATATTGCGATGTGCTCACAAGGCCATTTAAGACTATTGCATTTCTCACTGAAGAGGCTGTGTAAAGGCAAAGCAACATTCACTTACAAGCATATGTTTTCATCCTTTGCAAGAGATTTGAGGCAAGGCAACTCTGCAATATTTTAGGCAACTTCTACAGTCTATAAATTGGTGTAATGTACACAGTAAACGCATCTATGTGATGCCTCACGTCAGGATCAAATGGCTATTGCACAGCTACCCATCATTAGAAGATCTGCATATTCTATAGCAAATGTTGACTATATTTACCCACACTGCAAAATTAAAACAACATTAAGGCATATATTATGTACAGTTCTTTCAGTTCAGAAATTATACAGCACAAATCTAATCGTGTCATCAGTGGCGCTGGTCCCACCAATCCTCTGCCAAAGTTTGCCATCACAAATCTCCAACACTGTCATTGATCATATTTGCACTAATCAGCCAACTTATTTGAACTTTATATAAATTTCTTCAGTTCCAAGAAATCACAACTTTCCATTTGTCCTCTTAAACAAACCATTTATTCAGTCGTGAATAAAGTTTGTATATCTATGGCGTAAAGCTCAAACCT